GGAACCACAGTCAGGATTACACAGGACTTTGCAACTTCTACATTAAAAGACCGCAGGGAGTGGAACATGATATTCCATAAGGCAAAGGAGCTTGGATTGCAGCCAAGGATCAACTTCCCTACAAAAATGAGCATGATTTTTCAAGGGAGGAGATGATATTCGACACAAAATAGGGGACTTCCAAACCTTCCTGATAAAAAGACCAGAGCTCAACAAAAAATTTGATCTTCAAGTACAAGATTCAAGAAAGACATAAAGGTAAATGGAACAGAAAGATACAAAATGTTGTTAATAAGGGAGGATTGTTTACATGCCTACAAGGGAAGATGACACTTGCAGCTCTTGAGAACTGTATTGTTATTACACCATGATAAAGGAGTATACATAAAGGGGGTGGATATTAGTTGACTCTGATGTAATGATAAAAAAAAAATCTAATCAAGTGGGTTAAATGGATCCAAGTAAGTAGATTAGTCTGATCTTAGAAAATGTACTGAGAAAGGAGGAGGCAGACAAGGGTAAATTTCATTACAGGAAAAGACAGAAAATCCTATTACAGCAGAGGGAAAGAAGGGAGGGGGGTGAGCATTGTTTGAACCTTACTCTCATCAGATTTGGCTCAAGAAGGGAATAACATAATCAGGTATAGAAATCTAACTTGCCCTATAGGCAGTAGGAGGGAAAAAGGGAAAGAGAAGGGAGGGAAGAAGCAGTAAGGGCAAAGGGGAAGAAAAGAGAAAGGGATAATAGAAGGGAGGAGAGACTGGAGGAGGTGGTGGTCAAAAGCAAAACACTATTTGGGGGGGAAAGGAGAAAGGAGAAAGAAAAGCATAAACGGGGGGAAAAGGATGGAGAAAAAGATACAGATAGTAGTCATAACTGTGAAAGCTGAATCACTATCTTCTTTTTTCTCTTCTGTTGAGATTTGTTTCCTCTTTCTGATGGTTCCTCCTACTGGTTTTAATTTTTACTTACAATTTCACTAATGTGAAAATATGTTTCACAGGAATGTAAATGTATAGCCTATATCAGATCGTGTGCCATCTTGAGAAGGGTGGTGGAGAGGAAGGGGGAGAAAAATTTTAAACTCAAAAGCATATGGAAGTGATTGTTGATAAATCAAAATAAATTAATAAAAAAAAGAAACATGTAGTCAGATGACAGTTTTAATGGTTTCCTCTGTAATGTGGACCTTACATACAAATGCATGTTAATCTACATTCTAATTTTTGCATGTTTTGAGTATGCATCTGTTTTATTTCCTTGTTTATGTTATTTGTTTTATACTATATCATACATATATTGTGGATACGTGAATTATTTATAATTTGGTTACTTGCTATTGGTATAAACACTGCTGTTTTTTGCATATGCTATTACTTTACAATCCTACTGATATTAATATTGCTTTACTTTTGTTTTGCTGTTATGCCTGTGTTTTTTGTATACATGTACTATTGTGACATGTGTATGTACTTGTCCTCCATGTAAATGAGACTTTTAGTTACTGAAGCATCAACAATGCTATGTCTATTACATGTATTGTTGATGTATATTTACTGCAAATTGCATTCTGAGGTCCTACCTGGAATCCTGAGTTAGTTATCCTTGTTTTCTTAAGAGTGGGTCTTTATTGTGATGACATAATGGGTAATTCCAGGTGTGGCTAACTTTGTAAGGAAGGGCAAAATTTCTGACCGAGGGGATAAGAAGTATCCAATGCCTGTCCACTTGAGGTCCTGAGAGCCATGGGACAGTGAGACTGTTGTTGTTTGTCCTTTTTCAAAGCAGACTAATGACATCAGGGAGAATGCCCTGATTTATACTTGAATTGTATTCAAGTAAGGCTAAGTTGCACAAACTTTTAATTTCACTCTCTCTTCCAGAGTCACTGAAGTCCAGTGGCAAGACAAAAGTCTGGATGACTTGCAATGGAAGGGATGCAGTGGATGACCTTGGCATCTTTGATGTCTGGCCAAGCTCTAAGTACTCCATCGAACTTGCTTCAGCCACCTTCATGGCTCTTGGAACAAACAGGTTTTTTTTTTTAAACAATTTATTTATTTTTAGTTTTCAACATTTACTACCATAAGATTTTGAGTTTTAAATTTTCCCCCTCCCCCTCCTCTCCCCTCCCCAAGACGGCGTGCAATCTGATATAGGCTCTACTTATGCATTCACATTAAGCATATTTATTTATTTATTTATTTTAAGATTTTATTGATTTATTTTGATTTATCCACAATCACTTCCATATGCTTTTGAGTTGAAAATTTTTCTCCCCCTTCCTCCCCACCACCCTCCCCAAGATGGCGCACAATCTGATATAGGCTTTACCATTTACATACCCATTAAACATATTTTCACATTAATGAATTGTAAGTAAAAATTAAAACCAATAGGAGGGAACCATCAGAAAGATGAAACAAAACTCAACAGAAGGTAAAAATAAATGATAGCGACTCGACTTCCATAGTTCTGTCTTTGGATGTGGACAGCATTTTCCATCCTGAGACCTCTGTAGATGTCTTAGATCCTCGTAATGCTGAGAAGGGTTCAGTTTAACAATCTTAGTCATTGCATAACATGGCTGTTATTGTGTACAAAGTCCTCTTGGTTCTGCTCACTTCACTCAGCATCAGACCATATAAGTCTTCCCAGGTTTTTCTGAAGTCAGCCTGTTCATCATTTCTTATAGCACAACAGTATTCCATTACATTCATATACCACAACTTGCTCAACCATTCCCCAACTGATGGGCATCCTCTCAGTTTCCAATTCTTTGCCACCACAAAAAGATCTGCTATGAATGTTTTTGTACATGTGGGTCCTTTTCCCATTTGTTTGATCTCTTTGGGATATAGCCCTAGAAGTGCTATTGCTGGATCAAAGGGTATGCACATTTTTGTAGCCCTTTGGGCATAGTTCCAAACTGTTCTCCAAAATGGCTGGATCATTTCACAACTCCACCGACAATGTATTTATGTTCCAATTTTCCCACATCTTCTTCAACATTTATCATTTTCCTGTTTTGTCATGTTGGCCAATCTGATAGGTGTGATGTGGTACCTCCGAATTGTTTTGATTTGCATTTCTCTAATCAATAACGATTTAGAGCATTTTTTCATATGACTATAGATGGCTTTAATTTCTTCATCTGAGAACTGTCTGTTCATATCCTTTGACCATTTATCAATTGGGGAATGGCTTGTGTTCTTATAAATTTGTCTTAATTCTCTATATATTTTAGAAATGAGGCCTTTATCAGAAAGACTGTTGTAAAAATTCTTTCTCAATTTTCTACCTTCCTTCTAATCTTAGTTGCATTGGCTTTGTTTGTGCAAAAACTTTTCAATTTAATGTAATCAAAATGATCCATTTTGCTTTTCATAATGTTCTCTATCTCCTGTTTGGTCATGAATTCTTCTGTTCTCCATAGATCTGATAGGTAAACTATTCCTTGTTCTCCCAGTTTACTTATGGTGTCAGCCTTTATATCTAAGTCCTGAACCCATTTTGACTTTATTTTGGTATATGGTGTGAGATTTGGGTCTATGCCTAGTTTCTGCCATACTCTTTTCCAGTTTTCCCAGCAGTATTCCACTTTTCCCAGCAGTCATATTAAGCATATTTAGAACAAATTCTTTTCAGCTGCCCATTCTGCCAGAGGAAATCTTCACATGTTTGGGGTGAACACCCCTCCCCAACTCACCAATGGATCTGAGGCCCATTGGTTACCCTCAAATGGTTTAGCGTGTGGCTGCTGTACATGCTTTAGCTTCTTGGAGCCACAGGCAAGAGTTGAGAGCCAGGCGGACACCAAAGGTGGATGAGCAACCCTGAAAAGGACTCAGCAAGCCCTCACTCCAAAGGTGCTAGTCCTCCTTGAATATCCCATACACCCCTGTGAGACCGTTCCATGAAAAGGAAACCTCTTCCTCCATTCCTTTTGGAGGAAGTAGCTAAACTCTCCCATGAGGTAATACGTGTGTACAAGAGAGCTGAGGGGTAGTCAAGGGGCCTGAGAGTGTTTTGCCACCACAATAAATGCCAATTTTAAAGATGCAAGTGGCCAATCAAAGGTGGCTACCCACCACTTACCTGGGGATGCAGTAGCCTCCATGTTAAACAAACTGGGCATGCTCAAAAGGATCCCTATGCCAGAACTGGACGTGCCCAGAAAAACCTGGGCTACAAATACGTAAAACATATAAGCCAATTTAACAACAAAGTATCTTCCCAAAGAAAAACCAATAAAGAGCACCTCTCAAACTGAGGAAATAAACTTTAAAACAAAAGAAAATGCAACTCAATAAGCCTAATAAACATTCTTTTTATTAAGAGTGTAATTAGAGGTCCTATAATACCTTTCTGATTTCAAATATATCTGACTTCCACGACTGAAAGAGTTCTTTTCCCTAATAAGAGAACTTCTAAATAAAATATCCCAGTTTTCAAAATACCTAATAGTACTCAATAGTATGTTGAGAGTAGTTGTAATTCAGTTCTACAGGGCAGGTAAAAAATAGATAAGTGCAAATAACACTTTCATGTGACAAATGCTTTTTACGTGATACTCTCAGTTTGATTAACAAATGCAAGAATGGGTAACAGAGCTATGCCAAGAACATGTCTTGGGGACGCAATTTAAGGCACAGGGTTTGGAAATGGAAATGGGAGAGGTAGGTGTAGGAAGTAGAGGAGAAAAATCAGCTGGGAGGAGAGAGAGAAAAGGTTTGCATTTTTATACCATGAACTGGGTTGTGGTTCCAAGTGTACACAAATAGATTAAAAATTGAGCAGATGAGATATAATTCAACCCAGAAAGGCACGTATGAAAAAACAAACAAAACTCAGGTATAAATCAAATTTAAGAAAAAAAAAAACAGATCAGATTTTTAAATATACACAGCCCACAAAAAATGAAGTAGGCAAATTTCAGAGATATGAATTTAGAATGTAGTAATTCTGACAGGAAAGTATGAAAAAACCAAACATACCTGGTTGATCATATGAAGCCCATGCTAGATTTTCTCCACAATTTCCCCTACTGGATTCTGAGCTATGTTTGAGAACCTTTGTAATAGCCAGTGCCTCTGCATACCTAGCAAAGAAACTCACAGCATTTACTAAAATTATATGCAGAAATGAATGAACTTTAATCAAACTTCTAAATGCCCCCTTTCATAAAACATGTTTACATCTAAACCTTGAAAATGTATTGTTATACAATCCAATTTAAGAAAACAAACCAAAAAAGTCTTCCCTAATGTTAAAATGACACTAAGAAAACCGCACTATAACTGGAAATATTATGCAAATTCTCAGACTACATATTCACACAGGATACTTAGGTGCTAAGTACTTTCAAAAAGACAGAAAACAGTATTTCAGAATCCCTTAAGTGTTAAAAACTGACTCACTGTTGTGCATCACGGTTCAGTTTGTTGTCGAGTTTTATTGGGGGGCAGCCATGTTTCTGTCTATAGTCATTGTGAGCTCTTAAGACATCTCCAGAAAACTTCTTTGAAGCTGAAACAGTTCAGAACATTGAAGCATTCCATTAAATACTGTTAACAAATAGTAAAAAGAAATACCATAAACAAAATTACTAAGTAGTGTAATAGGAGTTTGAGAAGCAACTGGCTTCTTGGGATTTGTAGTTCAGAGCGTTTCCTTCCCAGCCCTGAGAAAGTTTTGGGATTATCACAATCTTTGAGCTGGAAAAAGCAGAAATGAGCTAAGCTCTGGAGCTCTTTAAGGAATACAGAGTTTGGACAGACACACCAAGAGAAGGGGAATGGAGGGGAAGGAAGCTCAAGAGTTGAGCAGCAGAGTAATAGAGACAATTTCCCTAGCCCCACCCAGGATTTAATGAGCAAAGCAGGAAAGAATCACTGGCAAAGGGGCTACTGAAGATAGGAAAAAGGAGTAGGGCTGAGCTGTGACAAGATCAGCAGGCCCTACAAACATCTCTGAATATTAAATTTAGTCTAAAGCCACCAGTTTCATCCATTTTTTCAAGGATGGGGGAAGTTCCTAGAAAAGGTCTGCTCCTTCTCCAACTTACCCTCTTGGTGCCTTTTATAGACTACACAACATTCTGTTCATTTATAGACACCATATATCACTCTGCTACTTTCCTTACCCAAATGTTGCCCCGTACGTAACCTGAATTTTGCCTCACACATAAAGAGTGCAAGGGTCAAACTAGAGATAAATCTAAATTTAAAACAGAGGAGAAAGCCAAACTTCTGGCCAACTGTTAGGAACTTTCCTAACTGGGGTCTCTGAGCTATTGTGATTGTATCCTTAACTTTCATTTAATATAAACATAAAACAAAACCGGGATCAAATAGGTCATGGCACTACCCTGCACCTAGTACAGTAAACTACCAAAGTAAGCTGTTGTAACAGGGTGTGTGGCTGATTGAATCTCCAGAGACAAAGAGCGCGAAGAGGACAGAGTACTAAAAATTATCAGCTAGCAAACTTCATGTTCCACGCTAATGCCTACACCCACCAATGTTACTATGACATAGGGTTATAAAACAAATCACCATGAGAAAGATGGATACAGTCAGAAGAAGAAATCAAAACTATCTATAGTCCTATAAAATAATGCTCTAAATCACTACTGACCAGAGAAATGGAAATTTTAACTTTGAGGTACCACTTCACACCTATCAGATTGGCTAATATGTCAGAAAAGGAAAATGACAAATGTTGGAGAGGGTGTAGAAAAATAGGGCACTAAAGCACTACTGGGAGAGTTGTGAACTGATCCAACCATTTTGGAGAACAATTTGGAACTCTATGCCCAAAGGCTATAAAAAACTGTATACCCTTTGACCCAGCAATATCATTACTACATCTGTATCCCAAAGAGATTTAAAAAAAAAGGAAAAGGACCTATACGTAAAAAAAATATTTCCAGCAGCTCTTTTTGTGGTGGCAAAGAATTGGAAATTGAAGAGATTCCCATCAATGGGGGAATGGCTGAACAAGTTACAGTATATGATTGTGATGGAATATTATTGTGCTATAAAAAATGATGAGCAGGATGCTCTCAGAAAAACCAAGGAAGACTTCTATGAATTGATGCAAAGTAAAGTGAATGGAACCAGAATATCATATACAATAACAGCAATACTGTCTGATGATCCACTGTGAATGATGTAGCTATTCTCAGCAATGCAATGATCCAAGACAATTCCAAAGGATTTATGGTGAAAAATGCTATCCACCTCCAGAGAAAGAACTGATAGGGTCTGAATACAGATTAAAGCATACTTTTTTTTTAACTTTGTTTTTCTTTCTTTATTCTTTTTTATATTTTGTGTTCCCTTTTGTAACATGGCTATATGGAAATATGTTTTGTATGACAGCACATGTATAATCTATATCAAAGTGTTTGCCTTCTCAAGGAAAGAGAAGGGGAGGGAGGGAATTTGAAACTCAAAAATTATAAAAAATGAATGTTAAAAATGTTTCTACACATAATTGAGAAAAAGAAAATAAAAACATTATTTTTTAAAAAAAAGATAGATATACATGCAATTTGGAAATCATTTTCACCTTGAAATGGCACCGTTAGTTGGCAACATGGCTCATACCCCCTAAACCCTGACCTTAAAAAATTTTAAAGGTTATTTCTCTATTTCTTTTCAAGAGATTATATCAATGAGCAGAGGTGAAATGGTGAAGTGATGGAAAAAATTAGAATCTAGCTTTCCCCCTACTGTACCCCCTCAATAAAAATTTGAAGTATACCAGATTGAATTCTGTAGGAAAGGTAAGAAGTCACAGTGAGTTGTTTTTTTGTTTTTGTTGTCTTCCCATCCCAGGGCAGCTTAGGGAGATGGAAAGAGAGAAATGGGTAAGTAGTCTGACCAGGAACATGTGACTCTGGCCAGTCCCAGTGGGGAGCATTTTGGTACCAAGGGACTCAGAGAGGGCTAAGACAAAGCACCAGAAAGAGACCCCAGGAGATCCCTGAGCAAGCTAGGTGCAGGATGGGTGCCATCTGGCAGCACTGTAACCAACACCTAGTGTCAGGTCATAGATCCACAAGTGAGAAAAATGTCCTTGAGTATTGTCTGAATACAGAACACATTCTGGAAAGCACATGGCAGCCATGTGGTTGGTTCTGATCCCAGGAGCAGAACACAAAGGGGAGCCAGGCCAAAGGGGAGCAGGCAGTTCTGTCACTCTGAATCCACAATACCTCCCAGCAGGCAACAGTGGCTAAGTCAAGTGGCAGTTGGCTGAAACTCCCAACCAGAAGCAAGCCAATGGACTCAAACCTGGGTCAGGAACTTATAGAATCAAAGAGTGCAATGAACAGACCTCTTCCCAAATCACACCACTTTGGGAGCACTAAAAACTTTCAGGTTCCCAGTTAGAGCTGGGAAAGCAGCATAGGTCATAAAAAAATAGAAGCTCAAGCTAGACATTTCTCCTCCCTACCCCCCGCCCAACCCAAGAAGTGGTACAGAGCTTAGCACTAACATAAAGTCTAAAGATAAGAAGTCAGCTGGAACAGCGAACAAACAAACAACAACAACAAATCCAATCATAAAGGGCTACTATGGCAACAAGGAAGCTCGTCACACACACACACACACACACACACACACACACATACACAAACCCTACAAGCAAAGCCTCAAAGATAAATGCAACTGGGATACAAATCCAAGAATTCCTGCAAGAGTTAAAGAAGAAGCTAAAAATTATTTTAAAAACCAAATGAGAGCTATATAGGAAACAATGGGGAAAAAGAGGCAAGAGTTAGGGAAGAAGCTATAAAAAGAGAATTAACAGTTTGAAAAAGGAGTACACAATCTCACTGAAGAAAATAACTCCTTGAAAATAAGAATTGGTAGACCCCACCCACCCTCCAGACTGGAAGTGCCAGGTGCTCTGACAGGAGCCAGTACCTTCTGCTCACCTGAAGCCCAGGCTGTGCCCCCAAGATGGCAACATACCACTCCTCTCTCATGGACCCCGACACCAAACTAATTGGAAACATGGCACTATTACTCATTAGGAGTCAATTTAAAGGACCAGCTCCGAGAGGAACAAAAGACAGATACTGTGGATGAAGCTATCTGTTGTTTCAAGGCCAATGTCTTCTTCAAAAACTATGAAATTAAGAACAAAGCTGATAGGACATTGATCTATATAACTCTTTACATTTCTGAATGCTTAGAGAAACTCCAGAAGTGCAACTCAAAAAGCCAAGGAGAGAAAGAAATGTACACATTGGAAATCGCTAATTTTCCTATTCCTGGAGAACTGGGTTTCCCTCTTAATGCAATTTATGCTAAACCTGCAAATAAGCAAGAAGATGAAGTGATGAGGGCCTCTCTACAGCAGCTGCAGCAAGAAACAGGGCTGAGGCTTTGTGAGAAGGTCTTTGATCCTCAGAGCGACAAGCCTAGCAAATGGTGGACTTGCTTTGTGAAGAGGCAGTTCATGAACAAGAGTCTTTCGGGGCCTGGGCAGTGACTGGATCTTTCGAAGTCACCCTCACTGCAGAAGCATTTGACATTTGGCAGAAAGATGTACACAGTTCTTGACCTTTATTTCACAACATTTTATGCCAATGAAGAGGAGACACGTCCTTACTGGAAAAACCCTTTATTAAGAATGTTGGGGTTTAAGGATTACTGAGAATTTTTGCAATGCTAAGCTGGTGCTTAACAATAATAATAAAAAAAATTTCTTAACCAAAAAAACCAAACCAAAACAAAACAAAAAACAATTGGCCAAATCGATGCTGATGACTCCATGAGATGTCAAGAATTAATAAAACAAGTCAAAATACTGAAAAAAAAAGTGTGACATATTCTGAAAACCACAAGCAAAAAAAAAGATTCTGAACAGCGTATTTCAAGAAATCATAAAAGAAAACTGTCCTGCTATCTTAGAAACAGAGTGCAAAGTAGAGCCTGAAAGAAGCCACCAATCACCTTTTGAAAGAAACCCCAATACGAAAACTTCCAGTAATCTTAAATCCAAAATTCAGAGCTCCCAGGTCAAGGAAAAAAAAAATATTGTAAGCAGTCAGACAGAGAGATTTCAAGCACCAAGGGTCAAAAATAAGGATCACATAAGATTTAGCAGCCATGACCATAAAGAAATAGAGAGTTTAGAATACGATATTCCAGAAGGCAAAGGATCTAAGTTTACAACCAAGAATAATCTACCCAGCAAAGATGAATAAAGGAGGAAAAAGTACATCTTTAATGATATAGAGGACTTCTAAGCATTTCTGGAGAAAAGACCAGAGTTGAGTAAAAAAACTGACAAACACAGGAATCAAGAGACGCATTAAGCATGTAAACATGTTGCATACCTTATAACCTAGCAATACTACTTCTAGGTCTATATCCCAAAGAGAGCATAAAAATGGGGAAAGGACCCACATGTATAAAAATATTTATAGCAGTTCTTTTTATGGTGGCAAAGAATTAGAAATTGAGGGAATGCCCATCAATTGCAGAATGGCTAAATAAGTTCCAGTA